CGCTCCTTTGAACCTCACCAAACCGAAATCCTCGTCGTCGGGCGCCACGGCGTCCTCTTCGTCGCCCGGCAGTGACTCGCACTCGACCGGCGCCGGAAGCAGCGGCCAGCAGGAGCAACCGTTGGCGGCGACCGCGCCCAAACTCTTTCCACCGGGGCTGCCGTTACCGCGGAATTACCTGCCGACGCTTCCTTACGCCGGCCTGCCGCCGCACCTAAGCACTCTGTCGTCGCCGAGTGAGTGAAATTATTCATGGTTCATGTGCGACTCACGATCTCAATCATTGGCAGCCGGGCGCGGCGGCGATTCGAGAGACGTAAGTCGGAATCACGCCGGCTGTCAAGCGGCGAGCCGGCTCGATATCGCATTAAAACGACGCGGATATTTCGGGAGATGGTCGCTATTTAAAACGCTTAAGTATTTTTACGCGATGTACGTGTGCATATGCGTCTCGGGAATCGAGTATTTTCGTCATCGGAGAGCAGCTACGCGAGTGTAGAGAAGCGTCGATCAGACGTCCGTTAAATATTCTGCCGATTTGCCCGGCGCGATCTGTGCGAATTTAACGTGGACCTTCGTGGTTCGATTTCTTTGCAGCCGACCTGCAACAATTCGATTACTCCGCGACAAAATAGTTCGCCTTTACTTCGGTATTTCAGTACCTAATTAACATGACAACACTTACAATGACACACTTATAATAATATATCAGAACCTTGCTTCTCAAAAGTAATACAATCCAAAAAATTAAATTTTCCAGAAAAAGGAAAGAATTGTCGTTTAACTTAACGGAAAATTATTGGCTAAAAGTAATATTTCTCGGCGAAAAATATTTACTCTTAGAAACATGATCAAATGTCATTTCTGTCATTTTCAGCTCATAACCCCGATATGTTCACCTAATTCGTTCATAGTAATAACTTGAAAATCACGTTTTTAGAGTTGTGTTACTTTAGAAGCAAAGATGCGATATTTATATTCAATGTACAGAATGTCTGATGATAAATGTCTCACACTTCGCGTAGAGGAGACCGGGGCTTGATGCTCTATATTTCAGAATTTCGAAGTTAAAACTTCTCAGGCAATTAATTGTTGTGACTGACTCTATAAATATAATAGAGGCAACCTTCTTATCTATGTATTAATGTCTGCTACGATCTTGTTAACCGTATATTTTATCTTGTAATAACCAAAATACGAATTTGCAGCAACATAGTCATCTTGCCCTGGTAAGAAGTTTAGTTGCATAGGATAAAAAAAGCTACATATAAAATATGTATCCTGATTAGTAGTTCTAGAGAGTGTCTTCGCGAGAAGTCTCCACAGCTCTCCTGCCGACCTTCAATTATAGATTAACTTTACCTCGTCCGCCCGTATGCGGACTTTATTTCAGTCAGTTTATATCAGTCAGTATATGAAAATTGCACTTATTATTAGAAACAGTATACTATATACTTGCAAGAAATTTCATTCTAGCTAGTAATACATCGCTTAATTTTATTCAATCAGGATAAATGGAGAATATTAATATAGAATTTCTTTTATAGAGGCTCTGAAATTTACTTTGCTGTTCAAATCTAAATTTGCTATTTATTTACCAAATCATTTTTGCTGTCCAAACCTAAATTTGCTATTTATTTACCAAATCATTTTTCTTTTCGATTTCTTAACTGTAATATTATACTGATTTTAACGAAATTTAGAGAAAAGTATTTATGTTCTAAAAGTAATTAAGTATTTATGTTCTAAAAGGACTATTTCGCGATTTTGTACTCTCTCATTATTCCTCTCAAGATAAATATTTAAAAAAGCATATGAGCAACATATCCCTGGGGCCATATAGCCTTGTCG